AAAAAAAAAAAAAAGAAAGATTTCTTTCTAATACTAGAAACTAATAAAATAGGAGTTTTGATGGCCAACATAAAAAAAATGTTTAGGAATCTTTGCATCAAAAAACAGTAGTTTAGGACTGGGAGTATGGTTTAAGGGGTAGAACATCTGCTTAGCAAGTGCAAGGCCCTGAATTCAAACTCCAGCACTACCAAAAAACAAACAAACAAACAAAAAAAGATAGCATTTTATATAATGGTGTTTTATAAAATGGCATTAGTCACCAAGTACTTTTGGTTTTGGTGGTATTGGGGGTTGAACTCAGGGCCTCAAGCTTGCTAGGCAGGAGCTCTACCACCTGTGCTACTCCACCAGCCCTTTTTTGTGTTGGGCATATTTAAGATAGGGTCTCGTGAACTATTTGCCTAGGCTGGCTTTGAATCATGATCCTTCTGATCTCTGCCTCCTGAGTAGCTAGGATTACAGGCATAGGCCACTGATGACCAGCTTGATATACCTTTTCCCATTAAAAAAAAAGTAATTAGATCTCCATCCTTGTCTCCCCCAAACCTCCAATTATTTGGGCATGCAGAGCCAGCAGAGTAGCTCAATCCACTGCACCTGCCTATAAGTGTAAGGCTCTAAGTTCAATTATTTGGGTGTGCAACAAGCTTCTCACTAAGATAGGACATGTTTATACTGTAGAGAGATGGGCCAGTGATGATGGTGGTATAGTCAGTGGGAGAATTTTATTACTTTCTATAACTTCCTACATTTTAGGAAACTTCAAGAATGTCTTATTTGCATAATCAGATAAAAATAAAGCTATTTGGGGTAAGCTGATTCAACAATGTAAAGTATGTATTCTTATTTGAAGTATGGATACCAAAAGCTAAGATCTGTCATTGAACTGTGGCTAAAAGCAACACTAACCTTTTTTGCTTCAAACCAGGAGATAACCATATCAAAAAGCCAATCTTTTTTCTCAAGGCTGATCTTACTGAGCAAGGATTTGATTGCCATGGATGCCATTTTTTTGCACATGGCAGAGTCATCATTTACCATCATTAGACAAAGAGGGATGAAGAACATTCCACAGTTCTCATGGAGCAGTCCCTACAGGAAAAAGGCATTGATGAGCACTCAGAATGGAACTACTACAGATCAGTTAACAAGAGAGGGTTCAGGCTTCCAGGGCTCATGAGCAAATGTAGTACCTGGGGGAATGTGTCACAGAGATAGGCAATCATTTCCAAGGTGGACTCTCTCCCAGTCTCATGCTCATAACTAGGGCAAAAACATCAGGTAGACTTGTTAGTATCCTCTAAATATTTCTTAAACAATGGGAAATAGTCTATTACCACAACTTCAATGCTTATATACATCCATCAAGCTGTGGTGTAGTTTTAAATGTAATTTTCTTAGCTTTTCAATAATCTCCTAAGTAGACTCAACTGACAATGGTCAGACCAGACTGAGTGAAAAGCAACTCACAGAACTGCCATTGGATGCCAAGCACAGCACTGTGTTTCATAATCAAGCCAATGAGTCACATCACAGCAGAGAATATGCCAGCATGCTTAGGCAGTGTCCATATTAGGAGAAAAGAATAAACTCCTTCTTTGTCCCTACATAGTTAACGGTTTAGACTTACTTCAGTTGAGCAAGTATGAATTCCAAGTTTGGTCTCAATTTCTCTCCAAGGGGATAGTCAAGAATGTATTTCAGAAAAACCTAGAAAAAAAAAATCACAGTTGGTTATTTGGATCCTGTCTCTCCAGGATTCCTGTTTCTTAAGCTGTTTTCTGGGACACAAAGGTAGGCTGTAAAAACCTTTCAGAAGGGTGAACAATCGGGCTTTCCAACTGACTCCAATTAAGTCTACCTATTAAGTCCACAACTGTGCCCCTTCCAGTCTCCTACCTCACTCATGTGCCTGGCTGAGTCAAGCCCTGGCCTACCACTGCAATCTAAGCTTGCACATTGGAAGCTGATCTCAGATAGGTGGTATGGTGGATTGCGCACGGACTGTTTGATTCTGTATCTCCCTTTCAGTAATAATAATATGATGATAACTTAATACTACTAATAATAACTAACACACTCACTAAATACCATCTATATGCCAAGGTCAGTTTCTTGGTTAATTCTCATTCCCTTAGGAACTAGGTGATGTCCCATTTTACAGATGAAAGCAATGAAGGTGGCATAGAGAGGTTAAGTAACTTGCTCCTGTGATAATGCCAGAATGCTAGGTCTCATCTATGTCCAAAGCCTTTGCTTTCAAACCACTAGTATTCAGCCTTCTTTGTTAATAAACTGAAATGAAGGCACATCATTAAAATTTCCAAGGCCTGCGTTTCCTGAGTTTTCAAAGGAGATTATTATTTCTTCTGAAGGGAGTTGTAAACAGACATCATGTATATGAAGTCCTGGAGGCACAAATAGTGCTTAATATCTGCTGGCCCTGCTTCTTAACTGAAGTCAAGCAATTTTTTCCTCCAAAGACATGCTTCCTCCCTTCCACCATAGCCTCCTCAGCAGCACAAACCCTCCCTCAGCCTGAGAACAAAATTTTAGTTCAGACTCACCATATTGTGGGTGTGATATGTGCTCCTAAGATTAGGGATAGACAAATGCATAAACAAATCTAATCATATCATTCTTCTGCCTAAGGATCCAACAGCATCTTACTGTTCTTAGAACAAAGCCCTAAATCTTGGCTGGGGCACGGTGGCATACAGCACTCAGGAGGCTGAGGCAGGAGTATCAAGGAAGATAAGAGTTTGAGGCCAGTCTGGGATACACAGTGAGACTCCATCTTAAAAATCAAACAACAAAGCCCTAAATCTTTAATAAGACCACAAGGACCTACGTGACTGGGCTTCCCTTCCCCACCTCCATTTAGTTCCTCAAACAAGCTAAACTCTTGCTTACCTCAAGGGTTAACTTCCCTAAGGCATTCATTGTCCCTTTATCAGGAAGGCTAAGTCTTATTCTTCCTTCAAATTTTGGCTTATCTGTCAATCCTCAGGAAAGCAGTCTCTGACTTAGGTACTCAAGTCTCAGACTTGATGATAATAATATGACACAGGCAGTCTTTAGAATTCTGTCATTGGTGACATCTCTAAAAGTCAAACAGTAAGGTGGGTCCACCCCTTACTGTGGGATAAGCTCTCTCTACACACCTGTCTGCACTGGACTCTGGCAGGTTCGCTCTGTGCAGAAATTGCCAACTGGGATACTTTCCGCATGACATCATCTATTTCTGGGACCAATAATTTCCTTGATAAAATAGCCTAAAGTGCAAAAGGAAAAGAAATGCTCATTTCATGTGTTTTATTGTAGATGGGCATAAGTAGGCTTGATGTTAAAGTGGTTATAAGTAGTTTTCAAACATAATGAGGGATGGAGGTGCTCAAGTGGTAGAGCGCTGGCCAAGTTAAAATAAGGCCCTGAGTTCAAGCTCCAGTACCACAGAAAAAAACCAAAAATCAATCAAAAAGCAAACAAGAAAAACAGAAAGAAAATAACTTCAAAAGAACATATACTTAAAAATTGTTAAAACAGCAAATTTTATGTTATGCTTATTTTACCACAATAAGAAAAAATAATATCCAATAGGGCAAATAAAAGTAAAGTATCTGAATTTATAGAGTTCCCTGGGAATGTTAGTAGACAGTTCACATTCAAACATTTTCAAAAGTAGATGTAGTAGCTTGTATTTGACCCAACGAATTCATAATAATTTCTATAAATCATTTAATTTCAGAAGTCTACTGCTGGTCAAAACAATTATGTTCCTATTATTTTAAATAAGTGATATGAAGCTCATAAACTGCAAAAGACACCATTCAGTGACACCATACCTTCAGAAGGCCAAATGCAGTGGCTTGTCGTGAAGTATCATAAATGTCTTCCTCAGCATATGCCAGGAGAACTTGAAGCTGTTTTTCAGTTATCTGGTAAGACTTGAGTTTCTTTACAACTACAGTCACACACTGCAAGTTACAACAGTACAGTTAATAGCAAGGACACCCCACCAGTCAGGACTCAGTGCAATGATAAATGCTTAACACAACATCAAAACTTTTTCACACAGGATAATAGCTCTCCCATCTTAGCAAATTATTTCTAAAAAATTTTCATCAAGACTATTAAAGGCAATGAAAACTAACTGTGCTGCTAATCCTAGTCCTGGTTATCTCTAGGGGTAATTGTTTCACCTCACCTTGAAACAATTCACTACCAGATGGAAGTTCTGGCCCCTAGCAGCCCCCAGTCTTGCGTAGTTCTTCAGCAAAAGGAAAAGGTGTTTCGTCAGCTGTCCTGCTTTTTTTTCTATGGAAGGCAGAGGGAACCTCAAAATCCAAATCAGGCATTGCAAAGCACCTGTGATCACCTGAGGAAACAAAATAAAAAAACAATAAACTTATGAAGTGACTAAATCCATCAATCCAGCATCAAAGGCTCTGCAGACCATGTAAGTTGTTGAGTTGAATAAATAAGATATTATGCACAAAGTATAAGTTTCCTATCCTTGTTGTAGAACATATTTCTTATCCATAGCAAGTGGAGCCAGATCACAAGAAAAAAAGAAAGGTGTTCACTTACTGTATTCTTAAGAATATGGGTAGGCTGGCCAATTTTAGAACTTTAAAAAACACAATTTTATTAACTTTTTTATTTTCTTTAATGGTACTTCAATGTAACCCATTCTTATTAAGCTTGTATTATATATACAAGACACTCTACCACTGAGCTACATCCCCAGCCCTCTTCTGGGTATTATATGTACAAAGATAGCTGGGTGTGGTGTTGTACATGTGTACCACCTCAGCCTTGGCACTTGGGAGGTTGAGGTAGGAAGATATTGAGTTCAATGCCAATCTTGGCTATGCAGAGACCCTGTCTCAAAAATAAATGAAGACAAAGATAAAGATCAGCCTTACTGTATTTACGGAGCAGACAACTGGGGCTCAGAAATTAAGCATAGGAACACTTAACTAACACTTAATTTAATTAAGTGCTATGCACGAAGATATGGAAAGGTGTGTTAGGAGCAAGTAACTACATAAAAAAAAATCCCTGAATTTCCAAAGTCAAACTTTAGAGATCACTAGGACTGGCTAGTTCAGCTCAACCTAATATAATCCCTGCTGCTCTGGCAGTTATGATATCCTCACTGTGTTGGATTAGACAAAGACATGAGAAAAGAGCATGGGAATCTGAAAACCTGGGTGTAATTCCCAGATCTGCAACTGATGGTCTGTGTGACTCTAGAGATGCTACCTATCCTCTTGGCACCTTTGTCTGTGAAGCAGGCTATGGGGAAATGGGATGTGTGTAGGCTCTGATCATGACCAAATCTAGTTTTCACATCCATGAAACAGAAACACTATGAGTATCTGTCTCAGGGGTTCTAAGGATTAGAGATGAAGTCTTTAGGATAGTGACAGTGGTGGCGATGATGATCGCTGGCCTGGGGCCAACACCACACACCCTCATGAATGTGTTGTGAGTATCAGATGAGATAATTAATGTGCCTAGAAGAGCTTTTAAAGATATTAAGGGTTATCCAAACAAATGTGACTTATTAATACAGGGAACAGTGGTGGTTAATGGTGTCATAGTCCCTATAGAAACTCAATCATTTCACAAAACAAGAACCCTAAAACAAGTTCCAGGTATTCTGCATGATGCAGCCCCTGTGAAGGAATGGGTGCTCACAGACTGCAAACCGATACTCACTTTCACGTCCATGGAACGCAGGCAGTCTATGAGGACAAACACAAAAGGATCCAACATTTCCAGAACATGTTCACTTGAAGAATTGATCTTAGAAGTCTTCAGACTCAGATGCAGCAGCTAAAAGATATTCAAACCCCAGTCCCCACCAAAAGAGAGAGAGAGAAAGAGAGAAAGAGAGAGAGAGAGAGAGAGTAAGGCATCAGCAATTGCCTTAGAGAGTCTCTGTAAGTTAGGAAGGTGGGAGTTTGTCATGCAGTTGAGATGCTAATTCCATTTACCAAACGGTTACTCAGCATCAGCTATGATTCCAGGTACTGACTCAGTATGCAGGGTGCAGCAATGAATGGTCCTGTCCTACTAGTTCTTAGTCAGGAAGACAGATGTTAAGAAAGTATAAATGCTGTGTGCCCTGAGGGTTTATGTGGGGATGTGGGGAGACGAAAGAGTAGGTGGTGAGGCCTCAGGGAAGAAGAGTATGGTGACTTTACAGAGCTGAAGGGAAGCTAGTGTGGCTGGACTGGTACAGAAGGAGGCTAGAACCTTGTAGTCCAAATGAAGGACGAAGCTCTATCAGAGAAAAAATGGAAGCCAAAGGAAATAAAATGATTAGACTTGTATTTATTTTCATTTTTATTTTTTGTGGTGATGAGGACAGAAACCAGGGTCTGGCAGATGCTAGGCTAGTGCTCTATCATTGAGCTATATCCTTAGCCCCAAGAGTTCTATTTTTAAAAGATTTCTACCTTTAAAAAAGTAAATTTGAGCTGACAGTGAAACCCAAATAATGATTATGTCAGAATATTAATTCTGGGACAAATAATCAAAATAAATATTAGAAGAGAAAAATAGAAACTTGACAAATGCACCTCTTAAAAAAAAATCCTGTAGTTAATTCAGAGTATGGCATTTCCAGTGGAATTGAGCAGAATTGGAAATTCTGCACAGGACTAAATAATACAGATTTACTGAAGGAGGCAAGTCTCACTTTAAGGGTAATTCTTACCCTAAGCCCAGACTCAATAAATATGTGCATGTTCGTTTTCCTGCTCACAACAGCCTTTGGTCCACCTCGAACTGGAGTTGGGGGAAGCAGAAGGCAGCTTTGGGGTGGTAGACGTGGATCATGTGCAGGGGCTGCTGGGTTTCTGTCAAATCACATGGAATGAAAACAGGGGAAAGGACATTGTTGACTGCATTCCAAGAAGTTAGCACTGAGTCCAGCACTGAACAGTATGCCATTTGTTCTGTTTTTCTTTTCCCTCCCTTAACCTCAAAGCCCACAGGGATGACTGGACTGTTGCCCAAGATTACTAGGGCAATCCCTAGAAATGGAAACAGAGGTCAGACTGATGAACATCAAGAGGACACTCACTGGGTTTGCCAGTGAGTCTCTCTTAGAACACGGAAGCAAAACCCAAAGGAAGTTTATAACACATTTTCAAATTTCCCTGCTCAATCACAACAACAAGCATGTATTTAAAAATCTACCCTTTCATTCAATATATATGTAAAACAAACATGGTATCAGAGAATGGTACAAAAATAGCTTCCCACTGTCATAGCTACTTCATTTAAAGAAAAACAAGCTCATGCTGAAATGTATGGCTTGGACCTCACGCCAAACACTATAAAGTTTTAGTTCAGATGACTATAATTTTTTGGCTGTTGTTTTTTTGAAACAGGGTCTCATTATATAACCTAGCCTGGCCTTAAGCTCATGATCCTCCTGCCTCAGTCTCCCAAATGGTGGGATTACAAGAGTGGCTCACTACACCAGTGGATTAACTTTTTGCTTTTCATTAAAGCAAATTATTAAACTAACCCACTTAAGAGTAAATAATAACCAAATGACTTATTAGAAAGAAGCACCTAAATGACAGATTAGCTAAGTGTCTCCCCCCCATACACACAACTTACTTTTCTTTCTCTGTTAACAGTGGTAGATTTTCACTGACCAAACCATAACTGAGCAATAGAATGGATTCTGCCATCATTTCTGGATTTACAATTAATCCTGCTATAATTCGGCGTAAGGTTTCATGAACTTTCCGGGCCAGTTTTAAACTCGTGGTATTCTGTAGGATCTAAATTAGGTAAACATAAATGTCATGCTGAAATAACACAGAACTACATTTTAACTTATCTTCATGGTATTTACTTTTATATATTTTCTTTCTAGTGTTTTTTTTCCTAATAAAAAAATACACCCTTAGTAAAACCTCAAACGGTATCACATATAAAGTAAAAGTCACTCATAACTTCAAACCTACAGATAACCAACCACTGGGAGCAACATGTGCACCTCTGGCCTCTTTCCACTCCCTCTTTCCCTACCAGTGAGGCCTCAGGACACAGTGCTGCAGAAATGATGTGACTCCTAAGATGCCAACCTGCCAAAAGCATTGAAGGGCGTGATGGACAGACATGTGTACTCACACACCCACACCCACCCACATGCACTGACCTTTTATCCCTACAACAGGCATAGAAAGCAGTAGGAAGGCAGGTTAAGTTAGAGTCCTTGCTTTCCAAGAGCCAAAAAGAAACAATGAAAAGGAAATGAGCTTTGCATCACAAAGATCTGGGCTGGTGGAGTGGCTCATTTGGTAGAGCACTGGTCTAGCAAGTGTGAGGACCTGAATTCAAACAAACTCCAGTACCACCAAAAAAAAAAAAAAAAAAAAAAAAAAAA